TTCAGTAATATGGTGTTGATTGCGGAACGTTAATCGTCTCTATTCAAGTTTGAAACGACAAGTAATTACATATTTTTATATTTTGTAAACATTGATGTCAGTTTTTTTTTTAAAGGCGTATGCAAACTTGAAAATGTGCTGTAAAAATTTTCTTTAAAATTTATTAAAAATCATCGCAACTTTTTCATTTTCACTTTACCTATTCTGATATTGAAATTTACTATTCTCACTCTAAAGTTTAATATTCTAATTTTCAAACTAAAACGCTTTAACACAAAAATAATTTTTTTTATAGATTTTGTTTGAAAAACTTACTATTGAAAAACAAAATTCGAGTAATCTGGTAATATTTATGGCATCTGTTGAATGTTTTGCAGTGTAGGAGTAAAAAAAATTTTTCTTTTTTTATTCTTTGCTTCCTTATTTCCTTAACGTCTTTATTAAGACAAAACATTTACCAATAAGAAAGATATAACGTACGAGTATATACAATATTTACTCGTATCATGCCCGCAAATAAACAAACAAATTTCAAACAAAATGTTCTGTTCTAAAACAATATTGTTGGTTTTCATATAAGCACACCATATATAATACATACATATATGCATACATATATTTATATAATTGTGAATATTTATTTATAAATATTAAAAGAGCATTTTAAAGACTTTGTAAATATAAGCATTTCTATTTTTCTTATAAAAATTTTTATATTTTCTATTTAATTCTATAATGGTTTTATTTAACAATAAAAATATAGATGATGATGAGGTAAAAACTTTAACGACGACAATAAGAAAAAAAAACACAAACTATATGTACGTTACATGTATGTATATATTAGGTATTCCAGAAAAAATTCATCGAAGAAATCAATAAAAAAGAAAATAAGAACAAGAAAAAGAAGAAGATCCTTTAAGCTTTTTACATCTTAATAGTTAAAGATGTTGATGAAAAGAGGAGAAAACTGTAAATAATCTATATTGTTTCGTAACTATATAATATGTATGTACATAATGATAAGAGTATATAAACTCTAAATGGGATTTATATTCTCATATTCCATACGGAATTATCATCATGTCAAGGATATTTAAGTACAAAAGGAAGAATAAGAAAACATTATGTGGAAGTGTGTGCATACATTATGTAAAACCTTTATTAATTGATAGCATATAGGAGGAACTCTTATGTGTATTCTCTCTCTCTGCCTGTAAAACAGTGTAATATGAAATAAATTTAAAATTAATATAAAGAAAAATGAATTTTTCAAAATATATTGTCGTGTGTAACATAAGTATATGTGAACATAATACAGCTGTATATGTAGTCCTAAAACTACTGCTTCTACATACTATCCTCTAATATAAGAATTTATATATTTGAAAATACATTAACATTAAAACAAAATACATACAAGTTTCATTAAATTTATGGTCAAAAAAAAAATGTAAAAATATCTTGTTTCACCAAAAAAAAATACCAACAACAACAACTTTTATTATAATGTCTGAAGGACATTTTTTCATTTAACTTTTTTTTTTTTTTTGTTTTTATAAGAGTGATGATATTAAGTGATGAAATTGAGTTATTCCATCATCTAATTAAAAATTAAATAATTTATAGTCGCACGTTTTTGGGATAAAATTAAAATTGTATACTAGTAATGTGTTCTACTATTCTACTGTCCTAAATTTGTAACAAAAATTTAAGAAAATAAAAATAAAATGGAAAATGAACAAATAATATGAGGACAAAATAAGTTGACCTTTTTTTTTTGCTTACAAATTATTTAAAAACAGAGTACTACAAAAAAAAGGTGGTTGAGAAAGAACTTTTGTATCAATTAGAAGAATTTTACATAGCTGAAATTAAAAAATACCATAAAGATTTAAAATTAATTAATTAATTTAATAATTGATTTAATAATTTAATAAAATTGAGATTCTGAATTTCAAACTAATTTTACTATATTTACTATGCTCATCCAAATTTTGCTATAATTTTACATTTTAATATGACTTACTGGAACCAAAATTTGTATTTTTCGGAAATATTTATAGTCCTTTAAATTTTTGTAAATCCAACCCCAATATTTCCTAGTTAATTGAATATTTCAACAGTAGAAAATTGAATACAATACCTTTAAGACAAAATAAATTTTAAAATTTTTAAAACACACTGTGTAAATCTGTACAATATTTATTCAAATTTAGAATTTAAATAATAAGCTTATGAAAAATAAAAAAAACATTATGCTCTTGACATTTTTTATTAACCCCGATATAAAAGAAATAAAATATTAATGCAAAAAATTGTTATTTTTTGGTTTTTCGCCTAATCATAATATAATATAAAAATTCTAATTATAAAGGATCATCAGACGTTATACAATATGTGCATTTACAATTCAAGTAAAATAAATATGAAGAGTATATTTTTACTTTTGTTAACTGAATTTAAGCCTTGACATTGTAATATAATATATAGAGTTTACATACATATATAAAATTAACATTACCTAATACTAAATTTCTTTTAACAAAATGGAAGATATTCCAATTAAAATTATATTAAAAATTTATAAATAAAATGAGAAACAATAATTATTAAACAGTAATTATTTAATTCATGTAAACACTTTGTTTTTGCTTCCACTCACATAAAAAGTATGTTCATAAATATTTCCTCATGCTTATATTATAATATTCATATTGATAAACAAAACTACAAGAAAAATAATAAAAATGTAAGTGAGATCAGTACGTGATAAAAGATATTGTACATTTTCTTTAATATAAGGTTTTTCTTTAAGTATATTTGAAATGAAAATATTACATAGAAGGTATTTAATGATTTATGATTTCTTATAATGTAATTTTAGAAGGTAATAAATAATATGCAGGATCTTATATAAGTACAAAAATATATATATTTTATAAACTTATTATAAATTTGTTTTTATTTTTATTATGTACTTCTTCGTTAGAGGTAAATATAGAGCCATAATTTATACAAATTTATTATATTACACAGATTATGAATGGAAATTATTTCCTCAACGATACAGTATAACTTTAGCCTTCTTATTAATATAAATTTTATGCCTTTAATTTGCATTAAATCAAAAATATTACATAAAAAATATAATATTTTTGAACAATTTAATATAGGAAAATTTAAAAATAAAATATGAATAATTGTAATTTTAAATTTATTTTTCAATTTTAATTTTAAAAAATATCTTTCATTAAATGAATTAATAAAACTCTTCTTTCCCACACAAATGTTCGGATACATCATTTTCGTATAGTAATCTTATACTGTGAAAATTAAAGGTAATAAATTCAAATATCCTCTAATAGTTTAAAGAGAAAAGTTTCTTAGAGAAAATTAAATGTGAGTAGAAACAATTCATAGTTTCTGTTAATTTATAAAAAAAAAACATTGATTTTTAAGATATACAGAAAATTTATAGAATAAAGGATTTTAATTTCTCCATTAAGATCAAACAAAATGTATACATATAATAATAAATTATCTTTATCTTTTAAACTTTATCCATGAATATTTCCAACTGAATATCAAAAATTGCTTTTTTCAATCATAAGAGTCCATTTTCAAGTACTATAGATATATATTATCTTCTCCTAAAATATACACTCTATAAATCTATCCTACAAAAAAAAAGTATGCACATATTTTGTAGGAATTTCTATTTGAAAATCATTTTTTCTTGCAAATTTTTAAAATTACTCATACATTATGAAATTAAACATAAATTCACATAAAATTTTAACACGTCTGAATGAACATAAAAATGTAAAACCTTGTAAAACGTAAAAAATCACCAAAATATATTTTCATATGAAAAACCACTAAACCAAAAAAAAATAAAAAAAAAAAGGGAACAGAATTATGCTTTCAAATCCTATATATTATATTTTGTGATTTTTGAGTACAATATTTAGGTAACCGTTAAATAAATCCTTGTTTATTTTCTCTCCAGAAGAAAAGGTCTAACATTAAATTTACTTTTTGAATGGCTAGTCATTGTAATTTAATAAAAGCAACAAAAAAAAAAGGAATGGAAACCTAAATATGTTGATGATTTTGCAAAGGAGTTTTTTTTTCCAAAAAAGGAAGAAGTGAAATATTGTTGATTTCATTACCTAAAGCAAAGTGAAAAGTATGAACTTATTTACAATTCATTTTTTATTATGCATTCATTTCATCATTGTTGTTTGGGAACTTTTGCATATGGTTCTTCCAATTTAAAAATTTAATTCTAACAGGTTAAAAAGAAAACCTCTCAAAAAAAAACTCAATTTACTGTTATATTCAACTTTAAAAAAATTAAATCTTTGCCACATTTATAAAAAAAAAATTTTCATATTAAATGCAAAATTGTTCATATTCGAGCAATAGTCTTTAAGTACCAAACTCAGCTCTTATTTAAATTGTAAAATTTTTTCCACCTTGGAAAACACTGAAACTAAACATATCTACCTTCGACAAATTTGAGGGTCCAAAGAAGATTTAAACAGAAAAAATAGGCCGATGAAATAAAAGAAATTTCATCAATTTTCAAAAAACGCTCCAAAAATATCACAGGAATATTCAAGACTTTTAATATCAGTAATGATAACAATAAAGAAAGTATTAAATTATTCAGAATTTACATAAATCAAAAAGAAACATAAATATTTTAAAATTGATTAATTCCATAACATTCAATGTTCAACTTTGTTAAAGAAAACGTACATTTGTGTTAAAGCAAGGAATCATTCATTCCAAATTATTATATTTATATTTTTTTATTCAAATAATTCATATTTATATAACACCACATATTTTTTTTTTGAACATGTAACAATATAATTTCTAATAAACAATAAAAAAATAAAAACAAAATTAATATAGATATCTTTCATTCAAGAATTCAATAGAAACCCAAAAACACAAAAATTTTAACATTACAGTTTTTGTATCATCGATTAATATTGCATTTTATTCACATCATGAAATGAATTATTAACTTTGATCGTTAATTCATTTATATTGAAAATCCAATCATTCAATATTTGTCCAGTTCGTTTAACTTTGTTAAAATTAATAACTCCAGTTAAACGATCGATTTTTGCCAAAATACGACCATTAGATATTAATTTAGAAATTAAATTTTCACATTTTTCTATAGTAATGCAAAGAATTTCACTCATCCTTTTTATATAAATACGCTCGTAATATAATGATATAACGAATATATTCTAAAATAAAAAAATATTTGTTATTTAAATAACTTCATTTCTAAATCTCAATTTTATTACATGTTCCATTAAACGATTATTAATTTCAAGCCAATTATGCTTTCCAATTTCAGTTTTTTCATTTAATATCTCGTATTTACACAAGTCGTTCTTAAATATCCTCAAAAACGAGTTCAAATTAATAATTTCTTTGGTCAGAAAAAGTTTAAGTAATAACCTGCACAATTCAAAGAAGGAAAATTAAAATAATCTACTTAAATAAATTTTTATCAAAAAAAAAAAGGAAAAATAAGTAATATTTTTTTACATTAATTTTGGTATTACTTCCATCAATTTATTTCTTAAAAGATTTTCCATGCATTGCTCTTGTTCATAATCATTTGGTGCCAAAATGCAATATAAAATTGCCATAGTCAAGGTATGCAACTTCATTGGATCATCATCATTATAACAATTTAAAATAGACTGATAATGTTTACTTGTAACAAAAAAATTCTCTTTAGAGTCTAAAATTATTTTTAAACTATAATAATCTAATTTTAAATCTTCTTGATCAGATTCTTCAAGAAATTTCTTTGATATTTTCGCTGATAAATTTTGCGCTTTCATATAATTTTCCTTTGCGATAAATAATCGTATTAATTGTAGCTGAAATTTGATCTAAAATTAAAGGTTAAATATCAAGAGAGTTTCATTAATTTTCGGAAATTATTTTGCAAAACTTTATTTAAACTTTCATAAAAATGAAATTTAGAAAAAGAACTTAAGTTATTATGAAAAATTCGGCAAAATTGATAAGCATAACTCCAGAATTATTTAACTAAGTCTAATTATTATTAATATAAGTAATAATAATTACACAATGACATTTTAACTCCCGAAAATAAATAACAATTAACTATTATTAAAGATAGTGTTAATTTTGTTTGTTTTATGATTCAACCAAAAGTATTAGGTTAGGTAGGTAGGTACTTAAATATATCCTTGCGTATTAGTAGTAATAAAAATTTAAATAATTAATTTTCGAATGCATCTTAAATTAAAGAAGATTTCAAACATTCAAATCAACTATTTCATTTACTTACTTCATAAAATGCAAATCCGAGTAATTAATTATAAATAAAATTTATTTCATTAGGTAAGTTCATAGGTATAATTTGCAAGTTACCTTTTCCCTGTTATCCAAATTAGATATTGTTTCACATTTTAAATCTTCCAAAATTTCTATAGCTTTACCAACATTATTTTCTTCTTCATAGTGATCTGCCATTACTTTACTAAGTTTTGCTCTTTCCAATTCCAAATAATTTTTACCTTTTGTTATGCCATATAAAACTTTCATTAATTCTAGTTGAATAATTTTCTCAATTTTAATTGATCGAATTATCATTAGACAATGTTTTATCAGAGCCACAACAGATTTTTCTATAAATGATTTTCGATTTGATAAAATTACAAGATAATCATTCAAGTCTCTCCAATGATTCGTTTCAACACATAAAGATGCAATCTCAATCAAAACTTGGGCGTTGGATTCATAATGTTTAGCCTAAAAAATACATACACCTATTAAATACACAATTTAGAAATGTAATTATATTTTTATTTATACATAAATACACATATATACAGTCATACACACATACATACATGTAATGTAGGTATGTTTGTATAAATTAATTTTTGGGCTGCATTATCACGATTTTTAAATCCGAGCCAGATTAGATTTAATATTCCAAAATGAACTCTAACATAAGTTTTTGAACTGTGTTTAAGGAGCTCTTAACAGCTTACATAGTCTGAACAGTAAAAATTGGCAAATGGTTATTGTATGGAGTGGTAGGTACATGTACATACATATGTGCCGCATAAACTGGAAAATAATATACACAAACATATGTATGTGCGTATATATGTATATACATCCATATATACTAGTATAAATGTAAAATTATATTGAACTTAATTTTAAAAGGAAAACTTACGTTTCTGGTTAATTTTTCCAAATGTAACAACAAATCCATAGCCTTTTCAAATCCATTTTTATTTTTTGCTACTTCCTTAATTATTGGAAACATTTCTTCACAAATATGAATCAGCGATTTATGATCCGTTTCTTTAGAAAGTTGAGAAATAAACGCTTTGCCTAAATTACTGGACATCTTAAACGAATGCTTTACTCTCCAAGTTCAAAATTCAATGTATTTAATTTAATAAATGTCTGCCGTTTTTATTTTTTCCGATTAAATTATTACCCAAATATTTTTTTTTATTTGATTATGCTCACAAATGCTTTAATTCAAAAATTTTCTTATAAATTTTCAAATTATAAAATTTGAGCTCTTTGACAGCAATCATGACAATTCAAAATTTTTTGTTCATTCAAATATATACTTATTTAGGTTTCAAATTTTGCGGAAAAAAATTGTACTATAAATTTCCCTTTTTTGTGTAATATTTTTTATTTAAATTAATAAAAGGTTTTTGGATTGACTATATTAAATCTTATTTTTATATTTTTAAAAAAACTTAACGAAATCCATTTTGGAAATTAATCTTTTTCACAAACCATAAAAATCATAACATAAAAACCATAAAATTGGGTCTAATTTTTTTGGTATGAAAATAAGTTAAATTATTGAAATTCTTGAAAGTAAAAAGAAAATCGAGAATTCTAGAATTATATAAGTTTTAGAAATTTTTGAAAAAATATTTTGTTTTCTTATGCTAAAATTACATTACCATATACACAAACCTTGGAAACTATCTAAATTAATGTGAAACACAATCATCGACTTTTTGAATTGAATTATTTTTCGAGACTCGAAGTGAAATAAGCAAATTATATATGAGAATACATTTAATTTTGTAATTTAAAAGTTTAAATAATTAAAATATTTTATTAAAAATTATGATTAATTAGTTTTATATTTTTTCAGACTAGATTGATCATCTTGAAAATTAAATGTGGAAGCATCGATAAAAAATGTGCAAGGGGATTTCATAATAAAATAAAAGCTAAGTAATTATTTTTTTTTGTTTTTAAATATATTTTCAATTGTTAATAAGTATATATAGAGATACATATACATATGTATGTTATATAATAGTTATGTAATTAATTGTACTTATTTTAAAAAGTAGGTATGACATCGTTAATTACTTATTTTTATGCACCAAATCTTAAATATAAAAATGTTATAGAAAATAAATTCAATAAAAAAAAATTTCAATTTTCTAGACAAAAAAAATGGGCACTCGTTTCTCATGTTAAAAAATTTATATAAAAAAATCTTTATAATTTTCATTACTTATATTTTTTGTTTTTTATTATTTTAATTAACTAATAGAAATTAACAAGTTTTCTTTTTTAATAAAAGCTATTTTTTTAAATGCACCTTCAAAATTGCTTTTCAAAAAAGTGTTTTTTAATTTTTTTGTTAATCCTTAAAAATTCTAAATTATCCGAATGTAAAACAAATTAAAATAGAATTAATTGTAAATTAATTCTCAAATAAAATGCAAAATGCTAAAACTACTGAAAACTTAAGAATTTTGGAAAAGTACATTTAATAATTTAAAAAAGAAAAAAATATTATTCTAATATCATGAAATAATTTTAAAAATGCTTTCAAATAATCATGCTGTATAAAATGGAAATTTTTCCAATTATACTAATTTTATTTTAAATAATGTCGATTTTATTTTACATTTTGCAAAACTCTACAATTTTTACAAAATATTCTAGTCTTCACCATTGTTTTATGTATAAGAAGAATGTGTGAATGCAAAAGAATACATTTAAGTTGAACGTAAAGGAAATTGCACTTTGATCCTTTATTACAAATAATGCAAAAAATCTTATTACTATAAATATTTTCTATTAAATGAATCGCACTAGAAATAAAATATTGAAATAAGAAAAAAGGGAAATCTGACCAACTAAAAATCAGATTTATTCATTTGGCTTCAAAATAGACTTAATATAAATAGTGAAAAATTAAAAATAATTTCAAGATATAATTTAATTTCAGAAGGAAAAATATTATTTTCATATTTTACTTAACACTTTAATTAAATATCTAAATTCATTCATCAATTGAATCTACTATTATGATGGCACAAAACCCAAATATGTACAAGAATTAAATTAAATATATAATTAAAATGTTAAGTATGAAATGAAGAAAAAATAGTGTTTTATTGTTACAAAAATCAACAAATTACTTCTTATAGTTCGAAATAAAATTTTTCATAAAATTATTTATCTATTTGAGAAAATAAATCTTTAAAACATTAATATAGCCTATTAAATTTAAAACATGAAGTTCAAATATTGATAGAATATAATATTTTAGTTAGTGGAGATATTTGGAATACCTTGTTTAAGGTCGATAAATTACAATATAATGCATGATTCAAAATATAAGTTTTACAATATATTATGAAAGTAGTCGCATTAACAAAAATATTCTTAGCCTTTCAATTTTAAGGCATATTACAGAATTAATAAAATTATTATTTTTACAGTATTGCATTTTTTTATAAACAATTTATTAATAATAAAAAACAAAATAGAATCAATATTTCAAAATTAATCATAAATATTGCATATATGTATTAGCTATTAACGATTTCTTATACTAAATACATATTTATTTACTATTCCAAAGTATACAATAATATTTAATTATGAAAATTAGAATAAAAAATATGCAAAAGAAATTTTTATTTCGTAAAATTTAATTAAATTTCAAATAATTTTTCAAAATATGTATGCAATTTATAAATTAATTATTTTATAATTTTTATTTTTGGTATTTAGAATACAAATAGTTTCAAATATGTTTATTTTAAATATAAATTTTATATACTAAATAGTTATATTGAATTAAAAATATGATTTGTGCGTTTTGTAATTAGTTAGCGCTTTAAATTAAAACTAGTCTAAAAAAAACAATGCTTTTTTTTCAAATTTTTTTGCAATAGTTATAATCAAAATGTCTTTTGAATGCTTTTAAAAATTCACATTTTCCTATCAAATTAAATTAGAAGCATTTTATTTTATTTCTTTTTATTTTGAAAAATTAATTTTATTATAAATTTTTTGGGCATTTAAAATTGAAAGAACATCAATTTTTTTTTTGTTTTATAAAAGTAAAAGCTAACAAATATATGATTTATTTAAAAAAAACGGGTTTTAAACCCATCTATTTCGAAAATAAATTTTAAATACATATGAACAAATTATTTCAAAAGGTTTATAAATAATTTGTAATTTTGGAAATTCTTTATAAAAAAAAATTTCTTTTCTCGCAATTATTATTTATTACGGAAATTTCTTAAGTTTTTTTTAAAATACAATTGAACAATGAAATGAGTTTCAAATTTTTATTGATAATACAAATTTCGAAGGAATGTAAATGAAACAAATTTAGTTTTGTAATTCTTTAAATGACTATTCTTGAATAAAATATGATAATGATGTTTACTAAAGTAATAAATTTAAGAAAATTAAAATTGTATTCCAAAATAACATAAAAACTGAGATTCCCTTTACACATACTTGAGTTGATAAAAATTTATCTAAATTTCTTCTATTTGTATATATAAAAATTCAAAAATTTAATTATAAATCTAATTCTGAAAAAAAACTACTAATCGTACAAAATTAAAATACATTTTATTTTTCTATTTTCTACTTCAAAAGTAAATTATTTTTAAGCAATAAGAAACCAATTTTTTATATTTTATTCTAATTTATATCAGTCAACACGGACGGAATGTTTTCCTGACATTTTCACTTCATTTTGTTTTTCTTAATAATTTAAATAATTCTACTCATTTCAATAAAGTTCTAAGCCAAATATTTTAGAATGCACAAATACATATAATAAAATTAATAAAATATTAAAAAAATTGTTAAAATATTTCAAAATGTAATCGATTTAATTGGAGAAATATTACAACTCGAGGGTCGTTTATACCTTGTTTTGTTGTATCAAATTTATCAATTATATTTCAACAAAAAATCAAATCGCAAATAAAAAGAACTGAATATTTATTTATAGTTTCAAACAAGCATTTTGTTATTTTAAAATTCTATTATTTAGTAATTAACTAAAATATTGTTAGCTTTTACTTTTTAGAATAACAATTCTGTTAAAAATAATTCTTAAATCTTATTCTTTTCAATAGTCCCCCATTTTTTAGTAGTTAACTTTTAATTTAAATTTTTTTTCATTAGTAAATAACTTGTATTTATGAAAATAGTATAATTTTCTAACATTGAGCTCTTCATTATTATCATTATGATTCAATTATTATCTTAAATCAAAACTTATAAAATAAAAAAATTAAAAAACAAGAAAAAAAGAAGAAATATTTTTCTTAAATTCTAATTATTATCATTACAAAATATAAATATACACGAAATATGTATTTAAATTACATATATATCCTTAAAGGACTAGAATTGTTTACAAATATGTACATATTTATATATAAATATAAAATAATATGATTTGATAAATAAGATGATGTGAATCTTATTAAAAACATAAAAATAACAAAAAAAAAATAAGTAAACAATTTTATTCTTCAATTAAAATAATTTAAAAACAAATTTATATTATAAAATATAACAAAAAAAAAATATTTGCAGCCTCCCCTAAAATTAACATTTCCAAAAGTTTAATAATATTTAAAAAAAAAAAAAAAGCATTCCAACTAACATCATCCTGTCATCGTCAATCAGTTCAATTTAGAATTTTAATTTTTAATATATTTATAATTTTTTTTTTCTGTTTTAATTTAAACTACAATTAATTTCTTTTAATTATGACCTAAAATGAAATATTAATTTTGAAAATATTTTCATTATATTATTTCTAAAAACTCGATTCGATTTTAAATTTCTTTTCTATAAAATTTAACTGGCAAAATTTTCATTATTTTTTTTTTTTTTTCAACACTTATTCGTATTAGGCATTTCTATCAATCTTTTTTTTTTTACTCTTTAAAAATTTAGTATTTAATGAGGTCTTGGAACATTTGCTAAAAAATCACCAACAATATTTCCTCTTGGATCATAATTGCATACAACTAGAACTTTTCCTTTTCGTGTTTTGGCTAAACCAACACCTAATTCTTTTGTTGATTTCCATATCATTTGTGTAAAATGGCCAGCTTTAAATATTCCTTTTGGTTCAACTAAATAATTATGATCACGATTTTCTTCATACCATGATCTACAAACATCTTTAGGATTTGCTTTTGCATTACGATCTGATGACCATAAACAATAAATATTTTCACCATAATCACAATTCGGTCGATAAGCGAAACGATCTTCTTTAGCTAATTGTTCTGCCCAATCTTGTGATAAATTGCATAAATCAATGCTTAATCTAAAAAAAAAAAATGAAAATTTTAGATTTTATTTACAAAAATGAAATTTTGTTTTTAAAATTTAATTATATTTTTACTTTAGTTCTGGCACTGAATGTTTTCTTCTATACATATTATGAAATTTTAAAATTCTAAGAGCAAAATCGCTCATCTCATCGCTATAACCACTTGATGATAATGATGTATCAGTTGAATCAGGTACTTTATCGATAACAATTTTTGGTGCTATTGGAAAACCACCAATTGGAGGAACATTCTCAGTAAAACTTCCAATAAAATTTCCCGGCGGATCATAATTACATACAACAACAATTTGATTTGATTTACTTCTTGCTTGTCCAACACCTAGTTCACGGCTATCTTTCCAAATAACTTGTGTAAAATGACCAGTTCTTAATGTAGTCGGTTCTCTACCATATGGATGAAGATCAGCTTCTGCATACCTTTTTTCAAAAACAAAAAATATGTGTATATTAATATTAAAATTTAATTTAATAATATTATTATTACCAATGTTCAACTGGCTCTCTACCATCAACAAATATTCCATTTGGTGATGAACTCCATGTACAAAATATATTTTCACCATATGGTGAATTGCTACGATGTGTTGGATTAGCACGACTTGCTAAATTTTTAGCCCATTCTTCAGCAAATTTACATAAACGTGAATTTAATTTTAATGGAGGGCAACCATGTTTACTACGAAATTCATTATGAGCTTTAAGGCATTCAATTTCAAATTCACCGAAACCACTAGAGCGTTTTGCTGGCGATGGTGATTTTTGTCTTAAACTTAATTGTGTACCATTAATTTTACTACTACCGCTAAATGAAACTGAACGACGTTCATGAAAACTAACATCATTTGTTGAAACCGCCAATGATAAACCTTCACTATGTGGTGTTACACTACGTCTCATTAAACGTACTACACTAGGTGATTTTCTTACATCTGATGTTGAATTAAAATCACGTCTCTCTTTAGTTATAACTGTACGATCCGGTTTATGTCCTTTATACGTTTGAATCGTTTCAAATGTGACAATTTCACATTGTGGATCCTATAATTAACAAGAAAAGAACACAAAATTAAATTTTAAAATTCTGCTTTAAATTAAAATAAAAATTCTGAAAATATCTAGTTTTTTTTCTAGAGCATATGTTGTATTTTGTAATTTATTACAGAAAATGTTTTCGCAAAACATTTTCAACAAATCAAACAAAAAAAAAGGAAAAAAGAAACATAAATCATGAAATCATTAATTGCAGAGATTAGCACGGGATTATCTTTAATCTCTTCTACTTTATTGTTCTCAATTCTTTTGCCAAAATAAATTATGAAAACATCACTTTTACATAAAATTCTCTAATTAAATACAAATCCACTTAATGCATGAACATTTTTTATTGCAATCTAGATAAAATTGCTTTGCTATACCAGTTCGGTAATGATTCTTTTTAGATTTATTCATTGTTAAAGAAGATCGTTCCCAATTGCTGATTGTATCTTATTCTTTTAATTGCTTTAGCAAAAGTAGTGTTAGAGTTACATTTTTTCGCTAACATATAGTAAAGATCAATTTCATTTTAAGCTTAGATATCTTATAATTGTTATTGTAAATTTATTAACAATACCACATAAATATGGTATATGGAACAAGACAAATGAACAGGAAGAACCTATATAGATGAAAGGACAAACAGATTAAAATTAAAAAGTGCTAAGTATAACATAATTTTCAAAAATTATTGAATACATGCTAGTTTCTGATTGCATCTTCTATAAAAAATTGTCAAATTAATCCAGATAATTTCCAAAAATTGATTACTTCAAACTGTGAAATAAACTTTTAAACTGAGAAATCTACAAAATGAGTTTGATTTCGTCTCTTTAGAAAAAAAAATAAATGGATACGGAAATTAAAAGTGGAATATTCCTTCTTATGATGTTAAAAGTTATATTGCCTCAGATAACTGTATAAAAAAAGTGCTTACAATCACTTGCACTTTCGTAATCTGCAAAGCGTGAGAATTTGTACAAACCAAAAACTTTATATTGTATGTATTATTTATGTTTCATCCTCACTTTCATTCCTTCAACAACATCACTATATATCAAAAATCTTGTGACACAATCATCACATTAATAAATTCTCAAATAACATTTTTAACAAAGAGTTTTTCTTAAGTTCTCCAAACACTTTAAGCGTATTACAAAAACAAAGTGAAAACACTTACTCATGATTAATTGAGTGAACCCAAAAGAAACTTTTTAAAGTGTTAAAAATAAATAAAAATCAACGATTATTGTAAATTGTTTGTTTTTCAATTATTATTGAAATCGTTTTTCCGAAAAAATAATTTTTTGTAGTAAGGAGAAAAACAAAATTAAGTTTTTAAAAAATTTTTCAAAGTTATTGCTCAACATCATCATAACATTCAAATGTGTTTTTTTTTTTTACCAACCTCATCGCATACAATAAGGAAAGTGATGTAATGGCATCAAATTTCGGATGTCCAGTTTTCGGTGAGAACGCGTTTCTCCAAATTATTTTAATAAAGATGCCGGTCTGTCTGTCTATCGATCTGTCTTTCTATCAGTCTGCGTATACACGCGTATCTCAGGTTCGGCTGAGCCGATTTTGATAAAATATTATATGTGAATTTATTTTGGCTACGTCACGGATTGCCGATTTTACATTTTTGCGCATTCAAAGGGAATTATGTAATCAAACTATTTCAGCTTCATTCGATTGTATACTATTAAATTTTAATTTTTAAACTCGGAATGTTACAAATAATGAACCTATATATTTATTGGAAGTATCAGATCTCGGACACCGAACCATGAACCGATTTTACATTTTTACCCATATCTACGGAACTAATCGATGAAATTTCTTGAAATTTAATATTTGAATTGTGGTTGTTACCGAAACTAAATGTCGAACTTTTCTAAAAGCCAAATTTACATTTTTTGTGGAATATTAATTAAAAGTTTACTAGCGTCCTCAAAATTTTAAAGAACTCCATATTCATAAACTTCTGTAACACTTTCACTTAACTAGACGATATATATTGCGATCAGTTATGTGTTGACCACATCAGATTTTTTTTTTTGTTACTAGAAATGAATCATATACTATAGAAAAACTTTATAGGAATCTCAATAAGCACGTAAGAATTGATGACTAAATATCGTGTTTAATAACAAAATATTTAATTTTGTAATTATAGTTAAACGAACTAATAATGTTGACATTATTTTGTGTGCCTATATAAAACATGCTACTCATATAGATATGTTCATATTTTTTCTAATGTAATTTATATTTGTAAATTCATATACATATGTACTCACGTAATATCATAAATGTATAGTACAATCGAATGAAGCTGTGGTGTTGTCACTCGCAAGGGATGTTATTGTGAATAGATTTTGTGATTATAAAGATTGTAAGTGTTCTAAAATACTTTTATTTTACATTAGTTATTTATTTAAAATATTTTATCGATATTGTCAGATGCAATTGCAATACACAGAGCATTCAAAGATTCATACAAACATTAAATATAATTTTTCAAAGCTTTGCAATTTCATTATCGATTACAACTGGTGATAGTACAATCGATTACACACTTTTGTGACACATGAAACAAAAACGTGTTTGCTAATGCAAAAAAATAAAATAAAATTCAAAAATTTATTCGTAAGAGGCATTTTTGTAGAATTGAGGGTACTTATAGACTTTATTATTTTAAAAATATTTGAAAAATAAATTTGTTTAAAAAAATCAAACTATACAATGAAAAACTATAAACGATTTTGTACCGAATTATTTCGACACTTTTGTTAATGTTTTCCTTTTCTTAAAAATTTTTCATATAAAATTTTTCCTCAACATTATACTGTGGTACCACTATAATTCTGTTAGTATAATTCTATATTTTTCAATAGCGTTATAAATCTAATATGAGAGTCTCAGAAGCAGAGTGGTGTAAGCCACAAATAAAAAAAAAATTTTTTTTTGCTGCAATCGGTTATGTACATCTTCTAAAATCAGTAATATGATTTTCTAGTTTCGAAATAGCTTTTTTCCTATTTATTTCTCACAAAAGTACTTTTGCTTTTGTAAAAATTTTCTGATTTTTCAAAAGCAAAGTGGCATAACCCACATTGTGGCTTACGCCACCCTGCTTCTGAACCCCTCATATAAAGTTTTGGCATTCAAAAATAGTTGATTTTATTAACACTAAAAGAAATGTCAACAATTTGCAATATTGTAACAGTGCATAATAGCCATACTAGCAACATTATCTGATAGTGAAGTTTTGCGCGATTCCCATCAAAAAGTTTACAGTTGCATTCTACAAAACAAGTATGAAATAAAGCGCCTCAAAGATCTTGTGGGCTATTAAATGTATGTATATATATTTTGTATATGCTAAGCTATTACATAGCTAACAATATAATGTACATAAGTAATATTCAATTAACAATAAATTTATTTTCATCATTAATCTAGAATTCATTTAAATTCCAATTACTTTTAATATACAAGTATCTTTAACATAATCAAAATAGTCAATTATAAATATTTATTATAATTATTATTGTTATTGTTATTATTACTTAATATCACATCGTAAATATATACACTTAATTCAATAAATTCAATTTCCTATTAATATTCATAATCTTATATACAAAATACACTTAAATGCCAATTAAAATCACTTTTATATTATAGTATGACCGGCCGGTAACGCATCTCATAAATAAAATTTAAATTTTTATTTAAAATATATGAAAAAAAAAAAATATTTTTATTTTTCTTATTTAAAATATTATACACTTATTTTAATAGTATATGCATTGCCTTACACACGTACATACATAGAATTGTTCATTCATATACAAGTAAATATTTTAAATTTTTTTACGATATTATAAAGAGTAATCATATTACATCATAATATTTTAAGCTGCTTTTAAGTGGTCATTTTATGGTAATGATTTCAATATATTTTTATATACACATTTACATATATATATTATACTATAATTACTTACATGCATCATTAAAAATTTTAACATGCATTGTGATTCCAATATGTGAGCGCTCAACTTGTAAATATTAAAATTTTGAAGCTTTTTTTTATGTATTTCTTCTTCTTTTTTTCTATTTTTGTTTTAATTTGATGTACAATGAAATATTATTAGAAGTCGAAAGTCAAGCTAAGCTAAGTACATATATGTATGTATATATAAAAAAATCTACCACAGAAAAAAAATTCAAATTGTGGTTTGAAAAGCATTTAATCATATTAAAATTAATGAATGTGAAAATTTTCTATTCATTATTATTATTGACATTTTTGTTAAAAGTTGCACGAAAATAAATTGTAAAAGAGAAACAAAGGAAAAAAACGAAAAGTTTTTGTTTTTTTTTTTAAATTTAATTAAGTTCGAGTTTTGTCAACTCTAGGGTATCTTAAGAGGTTTTCACGTAAAATATATACACCGGTACAATGGTAAGGACTTGTTTCATGACGTCTGCAAATCAAACCTAAAATAAAAAATGAAAATTCAATTAAAATTTCAAAATAAAAGAAAATGCAGGCAACAGTTTTCATATCTCTACAGAATTTTATGTGCAGACATTCATTAGAACTTCAGGCATTAATATTTTTAATATTCTTAACGGTTATTTTTCAATACAATATTACTGTTAGCCAAACGTGGCCAATTTTTATAGTTTAAGATCATTCTAGCTCCACGGTCCACTTTTTTCATAATTAGTCACATTTAGCTTCTTTTCTAAATCACTTTGAAAAAAACTTTAATTTTTCTCCTATTCAAAAATTTTTTATATAAACTTTATTTATAAAAATGTAACAAGTCCTAAAAATTAAGTAATAGATTATGTATAATTATCTTAACATTGGGGATTTAATATTACAATTCTTTTACTTATTAGATTGTTGTTTTAGTTGTAAAATACTGAAAATATTGCAAAAGTTTCTCCGTCAACATTATGTTAAAATTTTCCTATATATG